TTCCTTGCAGCCAAAGCTGCGTTACGCCTGCCACGGCCAGCCTTGCCTAGAGAAGAAGAAAAGGAAACTTCTCTTTGCATTTGTTCCCACTATTGCCTGCTCTTCCCCTCCCCAGCTTGAGGACTAGAATTTCTTCCTTTAAGTTTCTAGGCATGGAAAAGTAAGCATATACTTAAACATTTTTTTAAGGCTTAATACTCAAGTCCAGCCCTACTTAAGCAAAGAATTCACAGATGATATTTACAAGTCCAGTGTAATTACTGCAGGGTTGAAAAACGAGTTCTGTGAGTTACGGTACATCATTGTTTTTCTTTTTTCTTTTTTTTTTTTTTTTAATGTTACAAAGAACAATGTGCCTTTCATTTCCTGCAGTGCTGTTAAGGTACTTGCAGCTCAAAGCAGCAAGAATACATTAAAACTAAAAAGCATTTGGTTTGGGCATTAAACATTTTTATTTTTTAGATAAATGCCTCTCCCTCTACAGAAATTGTTTGAGCAATGAATTTGGCACACATTTGTAATCAGCTGTAATAATGAGTGCTGTCTTGCTCACTTGAAATGGGAGAATTTACCAACTTCTTTAAAAAGAATTTGTTAATCTACAATACAAGTGGTGTGCTACCAACTTTGAGTTATCAAATCACAATACCGCATGCTCGAGAGGCACCAGTTGTCTGTAGAAAATGACACAGCATTCTTCTGCTTTACACAGCACACTTCGTGCGTACCTTCGTGCTGCAGTTATTAATTCTCCAGTACTACCACATCAAACGCAAACATTGCCTGGTGGATGTCTGACATCCATTTACTGACAGCAGTAACACAGTGCTGTGCCACAATTATTAACCAGCTTGTGCTACACCCTCCTTGCCTTGCTCCAGAGTTAAACTCCTGCTGGAGCAGAGCAGGATTTGACTTGTAATATTCTGTGAATCTCTGAAAGCTAGAATCGCAAATATCCCCGCTTTGCGGACCAAAGACTGAAAAGTTTTCCTGCAAAAGTTTAAAATAATCCTACTTACAAAAAGAAAATCTATCCGATAGCCATATCCACGACTGAAAGAGAGAATAAAAGCCCTAGAGAGAGTTCACAGCAATGCTGAGCTGGGAATTCAGTTGTTCCTGATCCCCAGGCATGCAGTCACTTCACTACATCAGACTAGCCATTTTGTCATCCTCAGTTCACTGAAAACTAGTTTGTTTATAAAATACAACACCAAACCAGTGCATTTAACAAGCTTTTAAAATCAATAACTTTGTTTTTTGATTGGGTGAATTGCAAAATCACTTTGCGGTGCCAACTGAAATGAAGCTTTTACATACCATTAGGCAACTACAAAAGTGGGGAATTTTCCACACGGGTGTTTCACCCAGCTGGTCAGAAAAAACCCTCATTTGAGCAAAATATCAAGACATTGGAACATGCTCCTGCCTTTCAAATGAAGTTGCTGGCCTCTTTCATCACCCCTTCTGCAAATTTCCTCACCCACATAACAAACAGACAAATTCTGGGGTTTCTTCCTCTCCCCAAGAATCTCCTTCCCATGCTAACGGACCTGAGAGACAGCGGCTCTGCCTGCACCATGTGGTTACATGTTAGCTTTACCCCTGGTTCCAAGACACCTGGACCTTGGACCATGCATGCACGAACGAACCCTGTCTCGCCTGCATGTTTGCTTTTCAACACCGTCATGCTATGCATCCCTCTCTCTCTCTAGGGGAAAAAAAAAAAAAAGCTTAATATTTCTGTAAATTTTTGCAGTAGTGATCAGGTAAGTGACTGCCTAAAAACTATTCTGGCTTAATGAAGGCTGAAGGAAAGGCTAGAGTTGGTGTTAAAGCCACCACCGAGAGCAGATGCCACCATCTTCTCTGTGATGCTTCTGCTCCAGAAAATGCAACTGTAAAACCCACTAGAAAAAAGGAGTGGCTCTAAAAAAGAAAACCTTTTTTTCCCCATGAACTTCACTTTAATGAAGGTTAGACATACAGGCTTTCCAAAATAACACACACAATTTAAAATGATAAATTAAAATCTGTAGTAGGAGGCCTTCTTTTTCAGGGCTGTATAGTTGACCCTTTTGAACCTGTATTACTCAAGGTATGCAAAATATATGTGTATAATAAATAGCTCTAGAATTTATGGAGTGGAACAGAAAGGATATTAACAGGCAAGTAGAGAGGCTGTATAACCCTCACAAGGCCTTTAAAGATTTATTTTTTTAAAATGAAGGAATGCATGCATGTAAAAGGTAGTACTTAATCGATACACTTCTTTGTGCCTTCCAGACAAATGCAAAGTGATTCCAAATCTGCCCTCAATCTGGTCATTCTGCTGTTAGCGTCAGTGGGAATAAGATTATTCACAATACTATTTTTCTTCGGTCTAAAAAAAAAAAAAATCCTCTCTGTGTGGGCTCATTCCCACTCTCAGTAAAATCAATTACGAGACTCCCATTGACTCCAGAGGGATTTGGATCAGGCCCTGTGGAAGTGGGTCTACAGCAAGTGTAGAACAACGCAGTTAATATGATTTATTGTGTCCGTTTCTGTGCGTGCAGTTTTTCATTTTCTAAAGCCTGCAGTTTTGCTTTCATCCTCACGTTCAGTAGATAAGAGCTGCAGATCTGTGTTGATCTACACACTGGGTACACTGCAAGCTGGGGGCTGTGTGTGCTGAGAATGAGCTCGGCGTCTGCCCAGGGGGAGCAGCCCCTTTAGGGCCAACAGACTGCGTTAGAGGCATTTGTAAAGAAAATCTCCCACACAGGCAACTGCAAAAGGTGCGTAATCAGTTAGGATGCTTCTGCTGTGGTGGGGAAAAACACCCTTTAGTAAAACTGAGAAAAAGAAACATCTTTTTCCTGTTTATTAAAAAAAAAAAAGTACCTTTTGCAGGTCCAGTAAAGTTCCATGAATTCACTAAAAGCTTGTTTTACAAGGAAGACTCAGGCTCCAAATCAGAGGTATTTCATTTCACTAGGCTCTTACAGATTTTACATTATTAAACACTGACATTGCTGCTTTTCGGGGCGGTTGTTGAGTAACAGGCTTCCTTAAGACTACGAAACTGCAGGGTCAGAACAACTGTGGCTTAATAGCTGCTGAAGAATATTATCTAAACACAAAATAATAACATGCTTGGTGCCTAATACATTCTAAATTAAAATATGATTTAATAAATATAAGCAACAAATTCCCCACACACACAAAAAAAAGCAGAATTGGCAGAACAAAATCACAGTTTAGTCAGTTCTTCTCTTAACCTCGCAATCCTTTGGCTACAGATTAGAATTTCTGTGACCAAGATTGATAAGGGAAATTAGGCACTGTCTTTCAGAAACAACAGAAATGTTGTACGATGGTATGTTTAGAGATAAGCAGCACAAAATATATCAAAATATGAAACCTTTCATATTTCAGTGGAAGGAAAATACAGGAACCCCAAAAGCCAAAATCGTACCAGCCCAATGAGCCCTATGGTCTATGTCCTACAATATAGGTTCGTATTTGGAAGTTTTTTATGTGCCTAAACCTCTTCTTCTTCCCTTAATTCTATCTGCCATTTAAACCCTGATCCAAATGCAGCCCGGATGTGAATGCAGCCCTTCAACCTCACTCCCACTTGCAGCTTGTTCAGCTGCTAATAAAGTCCCCAAAACACACACTGAACACACGTACAGCTGTAGGGATTTGAGGCAAAAGCAGTTAGTTGCTCTGTGAAAGGGCAATCACAGTAGTATTATTATAGATACAATATTTCTACATGAGATGGATTGAAATGTCCCAAAATGGTGACAGGTTTTAGAGACATAAACCCTTCACACAAATTCTTCCTTTCTGTGTATGCACAGCAAACCCTGGAAGAGCAGATCCCCCATCTACATTTAGGTCTTTTAAAAAAAAAAACAAACTGGTTACGGATAAAAAAGTGAAGAAAAACTATTAATAATAATCACTTTCACTTTGGGAGACATTATTTCTAAGTAGTAAAACAAAACTCAGTTGCTGAGGAGCCAACACAAATTGTTGAGGTATAACTTATTTAAAGAGGGAGAGAAGCTGTTCCCTTACACAGGTACTTGTCCCTACAGAAATTCCCTATTATTGAATGAATTTTTCAGGCTGCTTTACAATGCAAGCCATTGATTCAGTAGAAACTATTGCTTCTACCTTAAAACAGTCCCAGTCCAAAGAACATTAGCATTCCCAAAATTCACAGTCCTGCTGCTACTTCCAAATAAGCTCAAGATGGAGCAACAAGCTGTAGTTGAGCCTCCCTGACCTGCTTACTCGTAGTACCTAAAACCTTTAAAGCACGCCAGTGAAAACATACAGACAACGTTGGTAGCACCTGCATCAGTACCGCAGTGGGTACCTGCCTGAACGTTTGTGCAGGTGTGCAGTCCGGCCCTGAAACTCCCAACATTTGGGAGTGCTGCTGCTCAGTTTTTGTTTAACAGATTTTTGCAGTAAAGAATGGGTCTGCAGAAACATATTTCAAAGCAACCATTTTGTTTTGCGGGACTATCTGAGATCCTGCACTCTAAAATGATGGCTGGCCACATACCGAAAGTTAGGTACTTCAGTGTGTCGTGCAAGAGCATCAATAAACAAAATGAAGTTAAAAGCACATAGATAAAAATGAAAGCTATGAAGCACACACCCCTAGGGGGTCATGACTCACGGCCCAGGGACTGAAAGCCTTTGCTACGGAGGAATAAGGATAAGGGTTGCATACAGTAGGCTCTTTAATGGCATCTCCCTAATTAAAATTATTTTTAAAGGAAAAAAATGTCTCTCTCCAGGACTGGAGAAACAAATGCTACCTGAATTAGTGAAACAGTAGCATTTAACTATGAGGAGAGTACACAGCCTATTTGCAGCTATCCCATGTCAATTATTCTGAATAATCTTTTTCTATTAGACATAGGAAAAAAATCTTTATAAATATGGGCTGTTTTAATATCCCAAAGCAGGAGCAGCAGGTAAGAACTTACCATTTTCTGGCTGGTCCTTAATATCAGCTTCACTTGGCTGGCTGGGACTTTCAGATTGACTTGAATCTGAAAAACATAAAATACAGCCAAAAATTACAGGGTCTGCTGTGGAAAATAGATCAGAGGCGCCAGACTTCCTCAAAAGGCTGAGAGTACAAACTAAGGACAGGAGTCTTGCACTAGGACATGATAATGCAAAAGTCCCGTGCCTAGGTAATATTTTTGCTAGAAAAAAAAAAAGGGAATCTTGTTTATGGCACTACACAGAGTGCTTGGTGTGTGTGTGTGTTAGCATAAATTAAGCTTTGAGAATCCTTCTTTTTAGAGAAGGCATATTTAAACTACTCTCCTACATGGTTTTTTTATAATGCAGCCTCTATGTTGTATACAAACCAGAGCCTTAATCCAACACATAGTAAAGTCTCAAAACATATTTTCGAGCAGGCATATAAAGGTAACTAAGCAACCCTACAAAGTCGTGAAGATTGTTGTCTACACATTTCTGGAACAAAACCTGCAAAACTGATAGAAGAGCTGATTTTTGTCATACTTTCGCAGTGGTTACAGTACGAGGAGATCACTGAAATGTACGGCATTGCCCCGATTTGCAGTGCTATAAATGAGACCAGACACTGGATGAACTGCTTTAGAACTTGTGCAAATAACGGGTCCTACAAACTCCCAGCTAACGCTCTCCAACCAACACAATTTATTTGCCTAAAATAATAAAATGGCCTATAAAAGGATATGTGTAAATATGAGCATTTTGCATTTTTTACACATTATTAACTCTACTTTATGTGAAGATGATCGCTCTTTGCTTCAAAAATTATTCTTAGTAGAAGCTTTAGTCAAATAGTATTTTCCTTATTAATTATTTCTATCACTATGAATTGGGAAAAAAGGTCCCTTTACCTGTGTGAAAAAAAAATTTTAAAAAAAATCCCTCAAATTACTGTTTTTTGCAATTAATAGAAATAGAAAAAGATTTCTCCCCCACCCCACCCCGAAATTGTTCTGTTATTTATTGATCCCCTAAAAAAAAAGTTTTTGCTGTGAAACAAAACTTAGGAAATGAAACCACTTGCTACTGCACCAAAAATACCCCCAATCGTGGCAAACCTATCTTCTGACACCACCTTGACTTTGCAGAGTTTGGAATTAGCTGTCTGAAATTTGACCACATTTCAGTAAGAAGTCAATGCAAGATCAAAAGGTCATGACACTTAACTGTGATTAAATTGAAAATCTTACTTCTATTGCAACAGACTGATAACACCACCCCTTCTTTTTCTTTGAGGTATTAATAGCGCTGGAAGAAGCAGTACTACTAGTGACCCTGGGTCAAGCAATGCTAATTTATTGCTTTAAAAAGGTTCCTTGCTTTTAAGCAAATGAAGATTTTAATTACCACAGAGCACTATAAAGAAAATGCCTATTTTAAATATTCAAATTTTTTTTTTACCTGCTGACCGTATGCATTAGGTATCATTCAGAAGCTTAGAGGACAAACTTGTATAAATTAAAAACTATAAGTAAAAAAAAGTGCTCACAAAACAAATTTTGATAAATTTCAGAATATAAACACTCAGAATATTTAGCAAAGAAAGCTTCCATCCTGACACTTCTATGTAAAATCAATTAAATTCTCCTACAAAGTGATGTTTCCCAGTGTGCCCGGAATCTGTTTCCTCTCTTTTGTATTTATTATTTTTAATAATTTCTCCCATGAAGCTCAGTGGAAAAAAAATATTCTCACTTCTGCAATTTTGTTTTAAATATTGATCTTCTGGGTTATCTTTAACTGAAGCTCAAATCAGTGACAGCAGATGGACTACGGGGTAACACGCACAGTGCTGCTATATTCTGGACATCAGATTTTGGCAAGAAGTTTCATGTTTCCGATACTACAAAGGTAGAAACAAAGGTAAAATATTAGGAATGTAAAATATTTAGTTAACATTCAATGTCAATATTCAATGGATTTCATTTTATAGGGCAGGCATTAGGCTTTTGCTTATTTTTTAGGTTTTCCTTTCCCTCCAGCAAGCCACCGTTTGATCAGCGTTGGAGCTTTATGTAGGGTCAGAATTCCACAAAAATTTCTATATTTGAAAAAGTTACTGCAGAAATATGGGACTGAACACACGCTTTCCTTTCAAAATTTTAAACAATCCAGCGAAGCAGCGAGAGGGACAAGGGCTCGGTGGCAGCGGCAGGAGCCGGGCTCGGCGCTGGCATGCTCAGCCTGGCACCCTCGCTCCCCGGCACAGCCCTGCAGCCGGTGGGCAGCAGGCAGAGCCAGAGCTGCTCCTGGATTTTGAGAAACAAAGTACTTTTGTTTGTGTTGAGTGCTGTTTTTCCAACACCAAAGCCAGTGGCACAAGAGAGACTCTACTGGCCGTAGGACGTTTGTTTGCATACTGAATCTTAACTTTCTTCTTTTATTACTCTGGCTAGTGCGATAACATTTTTCCCAATTCTGTTTTCCTGTAACCCACCCCTTCTGCCGAAATTAAATATTAATTTCTAAAAAAGACAACAAAGGCTTTACACACTATTCTTTATGGAGAGGCACGGGGCAATAAAATGCAGGATGAGGCAGAATTAAAACCAGTCTATAGTGCGGTAAAGATCACGGGAGGCTACCGAAAACATGTACTGGGCAAGCATACGCTCAGCATTGTTATGCAAGGTGGCATCTTGTGGAAACCCCAGATAAGAAGACTGAGTTAAGGCACTTAGCCAAAATGTTTATATGCAGAATTTTGCTTCCCTGATTTTATTCAGATGCCGCAGATGATCCGGTACATATAAATGTGCTGCCACATGGTTAAGGGATTGGCAAAATCAGAGCCGTTGTATTTTACAGTCTTGCCTAGAATGAGAGAGTCTTGCTCAGCCTCCACTGCTCGCTCTCTGCTTTTTCAGCAGTTGGCAGTAACTCCTGTCGGGGCTTTTTTGTTGTTTTGCACATGCAAACTTTAAAATTCCAGTCTTCTGAATGTTTAGTGTTTTGCGGGCTCGGCTACAATGGGAGGGGGAATGTCCGTCCTGCTGAGTCAGTTAGCCAAACAGGTGACCGGAGGAATAAATTAATTTTTGCCCATACATAATTGATATAAATGGAAGATCATTTTCATAAGCATTTGCATTAAATCAATAAAATCACTTACTATAGAGCAGTTTAACAATTCATTTGATTTTCTCTTTTCTATATATTTGATAGCCACTCTGCAAAACAGTATACACTTTATGCCTATTTTCTTTAGCAACAACACTGCCAGTTAAATTCTACCACCTGCAATAATTAGAGCCATTGGAAAACATACAAAACAAAATATACAGTAGATGCGAGCCCCTCTTGAATCCACGGCCCCCTGCGGCAACGAGTTTCATTGGTGCCTTAAGCTAAGGCTGGTAGGAAGCCAAAGAATCTGTATATTACAATAAAGTGCGTGTTATTAAGGGGAGGATTTAAATGATTTCAGATGGAGTTGGAAATAGTATAGTGAGGAACCACTATTAAGGTTGCTGATTTAAAAAAAAAAAAAAAAATCACCAAGGAATCTAGTTTTATATTTAAGGAAGCTTAACCTTGAATAGCACAATGGGTTTTATTTGGGGGCTTTTTTAGTTAAAGAAAAGTTAGTGGTTGGAATTTTTAACCCTGAACTAGCCAGAGTGAGCGTGAGTATGTACACTGGAGTCAAGGTTACCGGACAAGAGAAGCTCAAGGGGATCTGGTAGCAACTGTAATCATGGGGAAACAGGATAAAAAGCACGTTGAAGCTATTTTACTCCCTACTTCCAAGAATTGACTGTGATTAAGGGATAAAGGAAAAAAAAACAACAACAAAACAGGCTAGTTTTTCTGAAGTAGCATTTCCTACTACGTTTCTATTCTCCATTCCTCTTCGGATCTGTTTCTTAAGCATATGCTAACCCGGCGTGACCGAGGTGGTTGCGCCCAAGACCCAGGTCTGCCTGATCGCAAACCGTAAGCGGTCAGAGACCTTCAGCTCCAGGTTGGAAACTCTGGACTTTTCAATACGCAATTTTCCTTTTCAGCTGCAGCAGGAACGCAGCTCCAGCCGGGCTGCACAACGGCTGCGTGGAAGCAGGGCTCGCAGCGCTGGAAGGGAGCGCTCCATTGTTTGGAAAGAATAAAACCTTCCCAGGAAAGTCTGGCCCGTGGACAGGACCAATGTCAACAGACTGACAATGTTGTTCTTTTTTGTAGCCCGTGACACAGACGGTGAAGAGCTGTTACGCTCCTCCACCAAAAAAGCCCACTTCGAGTGTCATGGCACTTCCCAGTGATAAACCATTCCACCGCTACCTGGCTTTGCAGAAACAGGACGCTTTCTTGGGCACTCGCACTTTCTCGCCACGCCGTGTTTCCCAGGGTGTGCTGAATCCAGCCTGGGGTGGCAATGACCTCCAGGGACTGGCCTGATTGTCTGCTGGTCTGCGCAAACTGAATTAACGGGTGTCCAGATTATTTTTTACCTATGTAGAGCCAGCTCCCGCCAGAAACTGAGCCCTCGCTAGCAGCCAGTGTGCTAACTCAGGTGCAGATGCATCTATCCTCTAAACAGTAAAGGTGATCCCCGCATAGGGGAGAAAAAAAATTACCGGCGACGCCAAATGAGCGAGGCTGCGCTGCCACTGCCCATGCTGAGCCTGCTCTGCAGCTGAATAAAGCGGACTCCCTCTCCTCCGCTGCCAGCCCAACACCTCGCAGAAGCACCGCAGAAGTGCCCAAGTTAAATTTTCCATTCATATCATGTTTTAGGGGGGAAATATTGTATAATAAACTGACATATTTTATTCAAGTTTCAGAGTCCTATTTGTAATAAAATATTTATACGGCTGGGTTGTGTTCATGCAATAAATTTTTCATCTATAATTTTGGGCATGGATTCTACCAAAGATTTATATACGTTTAAAAAAAAAAAAAATCTAAATCATGCTCCTTTATATACAGTCCTACGTGGTGAGCTTAAGGGATTTACAAACAGAACCCAGAACCAGGACCAAGGCTTTCTTACACTCACTTTCCCTTCATTATGCATTCTAACATAAACACATAGGGATTGCTCCATGTGAGCTACAATTATTATTTACAGCTATTTCAGTGGCTACTACTCTTTCTTTTAAGGAAGGCCTGGCTCTCCGTTCAACTCCAGCCATCGCTTTCAAGTCAACTTTTATAGGGAGTTCAAAGTGCTTCATTATCATACACCTCACCGTCAGACACGCACATATCCGTACCAGATTCCCAGTTTTATTTCCCACCCCCCTGTACCATACGCCCCATCCCCGCAGCTCACGAATAAGGTTCTGCAGTGGTAAAATCCCTGCGGTGCCAGCCTGCTTTGGTTTTTTTTTGGGGTTTTTTTCATAAGGCGAGGACTCTTAATTCCTGTACACTGGGAAAGAGATTATCTTTGATAATGGAAATGTAAATCAAAGCTTGCTGTTGTTTATTCCAGACAGACATTTGTGTGTTAAGTCTGTTTATCAGGCAACACTTTGTCTAAGCCAGGAAGTAGTCAGCCTTTGTAACAAGATGTATGCAAATGATTTTCCC